TTGCTGCTGGAAACGCCAGTATTTTGAGAACAATTGTATTAGAATTGTGGAAAAAATGAGGAAAAAAAAAAGAAAAAGAAAAAAAAAGGAAAAAAAAAAAGAGAAAATATATGAGCATTTTAAAATATCAAATAGAACAAGATATGTTTATATATCTTTAGTTGAACATAACATGTATTCATTTTAAGAAAATCCTGGAAAATGGGGGAAAAATGGGGGAAAAATCTGGGAAAAATGTGGGAAAATGGGGAAAAATGTGGGAGAATTGTGGAAAAAATGAGGAAAAAAAAAAGAAAAAGAAAAAAAAAGGAAAAAAAAAAAGAGAAAATATATGAGCATTTTAAAATATAACCCAGTCCAAGTCCTCTTTTGTTCTTCACTGGTGTGTCCTGAGCTATTCATTCAGGTGGGGAATTGTCCCCACGGGGGGTCCCCATCCTTCCTTCTCACTGCGAGTCTGACTAAATGCAGCCTGGAGTAAGTTCACCCATGGCAGAACCACAGGGGGAACCCCGAGTCTCAGCCAAGGAACGTTTTTCCTTTTCCTCAGGTGTTTTTCCATGAGTGATTTTCGCATCCCGTTGACATCTCCAGCTGGACCTGCTGGGGACCCGATCGCCCCCTGCACCGTTCCCGTTCTCCTCCCCCTCCAGTGGGACAAGTGGCCATCGTGCCCACTGGGATGCCCGTGGCCGGACCCGCAGAGGGATGTGCCACCCGGGTGCCAGCCTGTCCCTGCCTGGGTGGCACTGAGGTGACCAAGGCCACCCTGGACACATCAGGGTGCCTTGGCAGCACGGGCGGTGCTCAGCTTTGGGCAGAGTGGGCAGCACCCGCAGCCCGGTGATGAGTGTGTATGGACGGGTGTTTTCCAGCCCCCATCCCTGCTGGAGTTACCCCATGGAGCAGGAGCGGTGCTGGGAGCAGTGGGTGGGAGAGCAGGAGCCGTTAGCGCTGGCCTTCCCTTAACCTGGATCTGTTGCCAGGTACAAACAAGATTGAACTCGCCCTGGGGTTTACAGCGCAGATAAATCCTCCCCCGACGGCTGCAGAGCCGGTCAGATAGAGACGGAAAATCAGTGTCTCAATTTGGTTAGTGACGATCCCCGGGTTTGCAGCTTGGCTGCGATATTTTTTCATTTGGGAAGCGCTGGGAGGAAGCTTTTGGAGGGCGAGGGAAGGGGCACGGGGGGTTATCCTCCTTGGCAGCGACCTGCTGCTCCCCAGAGCTGCCCATTCCCACTCCCTGCCCCATTTTGGGATCCCCCAGGGAACCCGGGAGCACCCGCTCGGCCACGCTCCCATCTGCCGGCTCCCGCTGCAGAGGGTGGTTGTGTGTCTCGTTAACCTCCGGGCAGCGGTTTGTGTTTGGAGAGTAAATATTTACCTCCCTTCCGGAGGGTTTTTGTCCCCCATCCCCGGGCGGAGCGCGCCGGGGTCTGTGGGGCAGCGCTCGCCGGGATGCGCCGCGGGCTGCCCGGGGGTCACTGCTGCCCGCGGCGCTCCAAACCCACATTTTGCTTT